TTTTACCATTTACTGTGGCACAATATTTAGTACAAATTTCCAAAAATATTTATTCATATCGCTCCATTTGTAATAGTTAAGCTTAATACTAAATTTCAATCTCGAACCTTTCCATAATAATTTAATATTTTGTACCATTTTAGTAATAATTTCAAAAATATATTACTGTGTTTCAGTTTTCTATTTCTTCCGGTTCCATTATACTACAGTATTAAATATATTTTTGTACTAATTTCCCAAAAATATAGTTTCTATTTTGAATAGAGTAAGCTACATACCAAATTTCAGATTTCTGTTTCCAACAGTTCTATTGTATTTTATTATTTGGTACATTTTATCACCACTTTAGTACTAATTTCAAAAAGAAAACTGTTTTGCATACTATTATATTTGCAATAGTTAAAGCTACATGCGAAGTTTTACATTTTTTTCTATATTTGCACCTTTCCATAAAATGTGTTTGCCCATCATTCTATTTGGGATAACTTAAGATACATACGAAATTTCAGATATTTGGTACTTTTTAGTACCTTTAGTACTAATTTCGAAAATTTGTTCGCACATTTGCCTTCGCCTATCATTGACAAAGCTGCATACCAAATATCAGAGTTCTACATAGAAACGTTCCGTTTTAATATAGTTTTAGTACTTTTTGGTATCATTTTAGTACTAATTTCCAAAAGATGTCTTTGCACAACATTCCATTTGTAATAGCTTAAGCTACATATAAATTTTCAGATAAGTATCTCTACTATATTATTTAGTACTTTTTAGTACCTCTTAGTACTAAATTCCAATTTTTTCACACATGCCCTTTGGATTATTAATAACAAAGCTGTATACCAAATTTCAGAGTTATACTTCCAACCGTTCCGGCGTAATACAGTTTTAGTACTTTTTAGTACCATTTTGGTAATAATTTCCAACAAATATTTTTGCATGTCGTTCTTGTTTTAATAGCTTAAGCCACATACCAAGTTTCAGGTAGAAGTTTTAGAGTTTTTCTTTAACGATTCCATTCAAATACAATATTTAGTGCTTTTTAGTACGTTTTAGTACTAAATTCCAATTTTTTCACACTACCAGAGTTTTTCAGTGTTCTACATCTAACCGTATCCGCGTAATACAATTTTTAGTACCTTTTAGTACGAATTTCCAAAAACCCCGCCTTATCACACGCCTCCCCACAAAACCCAACCTACATGCCAAATTTCAAGTTACTAGCTTTGGCCGTTTCGTCAGGGCGTTGATGATCAGTCAGTCACTTATAACGCAACTCTTTTACATATCGTCACCTAAAATGCAAAAAGGCGTAACTAACAAAAAATTTAAAATTGACTTTTTGAATGAATATTGTGAATGTCAATAAACTACATGTGTTGACAAAGTTTTACACGTCTCCGGTCAAAAAAGGAGCTTCTATTAACAAAAAACAAAACGACGTAACTACAAATGGGTTTATTTTGATAAATGCAAAAAAGCGTAACTAACAAAAAATTCACGTTTTTACTTAATTGTTATGACTGTCATTAAACTAAATAACTAAATTTGTTAAAAACCAGTAAGGAAAGTTGTAAAGTCGGACTGGACCGACTATATGATACCCTTCACCACTTTGGGTATATTCTACATATGTATCCTAACAGGCGTCGCGTGTTTGTTATATATCTATATCTGAACCGATTTCAGGGAAACCTCCCAGAGATTAATTTATATTACTTCGGTATATATATATATATATATATATATATATGGGAGCTATAACTAAATCTGAACCGATTTCCACGAAAATTTACCCACATCATTCTGGACTTAATTCAGTGCGCTATGCCAAATTTCGTGCAAATCGAAAGATATATAGGGACTTTTGTACACAATTTACCTTAAATCGGAAGAAGATATATATGGGAGCTATATCTAAATCTGAACCGATTTTCCCGAAATTCAGTACGGTATGCCAAATTTCGTGCAAATCGAAAGATATATAGGGACTTTGGTACACAATTTAGCATAAATCGGACGAAGATATATATGGGGAGCTATATCTAAATCTGAACCGATTTTCACGAAACTTTGCCACATCATTCTAGACTTAATTCAGTACGCTATTCCAAAATTCGTGCAAATGAAAAGATTTCCAGGGACTTTGGTGCACCAATTACCTACAATCGGGCAAAAATATATATGGGAGCTATATCTAAATCTGAACCGATTTTCATGAAACATAGCACAAATTATTATAGAACCAAATGCCGTGCAAATCGAAAGATATATAGGGTCTTTGGTACACCAATTACCTTAAATCGGATGAAAATATATATGGGAGCTATATCTAAATCTGAACCGATTGTCACGAAACTTTGCACACATCATTCTAGGCTTAATTCGGTACGCTATACCAAAAGATTTCCAGGGACTTTAGCGGACTATTTACCTAAAATCGGGCGAAGCTATACATGGGAGCTAAATCTAAATTTGTACCGATTGCCACGAAACTTTGCACACATCATTCAAAACTTAATTTAGTACGCTATGCCAAATTTCGTGCAAATCGAAAGATATATAGGGACTTTTGTACACAATTTACCTTAAATCGGAAGAAGATATATATGTGAGCTATATCTAAATCTGAACCGATTTTCACGAAACTTGGCATACATCATTCTAGACCTTATTCATTACGCTGTGCCAAATTTCGTGCAAATCGAAAGATATGTAGGGACTTTGGTACACAATTTACCTTAAATCGGACGAAGATATATAGGGGAGCTATATCTAAATCTGAACCGATTTTTACAAAACTTGGCATACATCATTCTAGACCTTATTCATTACGCTGTGCCAAATTTCGTGCAAATCGAAAGATATATAGGGAATTTGGTACACAATTTACCTTAAATCGGACGAAGATATATAAGGGAGCTATATCTAAATCTGAACCGATTTTCACGAAACTTGGCATACATCATTCTAGACCTTATTCATTGCGCTGTGCCAAATTTCGTGCAAATCGAAAGATATATAGGGGCATTGGTACACAATTTACCTTAAATCCGATGAAGATATATATGGAAGCTATATCTAAATCTGAACCGACTTTCACGAAACTTGGCATACATCATTCTAGACCTTATTCATTACGCTGTGCCATATTTCGTGCAAATCGAAAGATATATAGGGACTTTGGTACGCAATTTACCTTAAATCGGACGAAGCTATATCTAAAGATATATAGGGACTTTGGTACACAATTTACCTTAAATCGGACGAAGCTATATCTAAAGATATATAGGGACTTTGGTACACAATTTACCTTAAATCGGACGAAGCATTATCTAAATCTGAACCGATTTTCACGAAACTTGGCATACATCATTCTAGACCTTATTCATTACGCTGTGCCAAATTTCGTGCAAATCAAAAGATATGTAGGGACTTTGGTACACAATTTACCTTAAATCGGACGAAGATATATAGGGGAGCCATATCTTAATCTGAACCGATTTTCACGAAACTTGGCATACATCATTCTAGACCTTATTCATTACGCTGTGCCAAATTTCGTGCAAATCGAAAGACATATAGGGACTCTGGTACACAATTTACCTTAAATCGGACGAGGATATATATGGGAGCTATATCTAAATCTGAACCGATTTTTATGAAATTTTACACACATCATTCTAGACCTAATTCATTACGCTGTGCCAATTTTAGTGCAATTCGAATGATATATAGGGTCCGTTTACATTAAATCGGACGAAAATATATATTGGAGCTATATCTAAATCTGAACCGATTTTTCCCAATTTCAATAGGGTTCGTCCTTGGGCCAAACAATTGAGCTGTGCCAAATTTCATCAAATTCGGATCATAAATGCGACCTGTACTTTGTTTACAATTTAACATCTACAGACGGACAGACGGACGGACGGACATGCATAAATCGACTCAGAAAGAGATTCTATGCATATTCTCAAAAGGAACCATGGGTCTATCTCGATTATTTTTGCCTGTTACAAACATATGCACAAAGACATAATACCCTGTACCACAGTGTGGTGAAGGGTATAAAAATATAGTCTATTATTCGTCATATGCAATATCATCCTGCCGGGCATACTTTTTCATTATACATGACATGTTATAGTTATTTTTTATTCAAAACAGTTTTTTGCTTCTCCTACACAATTATGCTTTTGTTAGTTGCGCCTTTTTGCATTTTAGCTAACGATATATAGATAATAAATTCCAGACTCTAGACTATGAACTTCATCATACCACAAACCGAGAAACCTTTGCATAGAGTCTATCTCATTACTGAAAATTGGCATTTATATTACGGCTATGTCAAATCATGGACCTATATTTACGCTACAAGAATCCGAAATGTCAATTTAAAGACCCTTCGGTTCAAAAATGCAATATACAAGGGTTCCGTAAGGATCGATAGATATGTTGGTCCTTGAAATATATTTTTTTTATAAATCCACGCCTATTTATATTTTGGTATTATAATCCAGCAAAAATTGAAATACATACTAGAGTCTGCAAATCAAATATCCAGATTATCGATGTTTTACTGTGTAGATAACAAAATGTTAAAGATTTATTTCTTTATGCGAGAAAAAAATAATGCTTTCATTATTATTGCAACACATTCTGACTATCAGCCACTTTTATTGATTTATCATCTATTTAAATTTGATATTTACTGCGAAGATCGGGAGGAACATACGAGTACAAAAGAATAAAAGAATATAAAAATAGAATAATGAAATAAGTCAAAGGTTAATAAACAAAAGCCAACGATTGCAATTGATTTGCTTTCAAATCGTAGATAATGAAATGTCAGACTCAAAACAAAAACCCCCTCATTCTCGTCGTTTTATAAATAGCAAGCAGTTGGGCAGAGATTCTTAATAAAATACTTATGAGTACTTATTGTTGACTAATTGTGAGCACTGATTCAGTTGTGTGGTGATCATTGACAAGATAACATGGCAACAGAAGCTCATTCGAAGAACGTCGCCTTAATGACGTTCCTCCTTTTGTGTCTGGCCAGTCCGGTTGTAATGGGATCACGCGAACGAAAAATCACAGCAAAACTTTTAGAGGGTAAGATTAAACAACATTTTCGTCCATATCGTAGAAAGTTCAAGTGATTTGTATCCCTCCTTAAGGTTATCCTGATGACTTCAAATTAGATCCATTCATCCGCGTTGGTAAAAAACTATATCATTTCGGCCAATCAAAGGTACAGATTAAACATTCGAATTGAACATGAGCAGAGGTGGTAATCTATTTATACGTTTTACAGGTATCATGGTACAAAGCTAATGTGATATGTCGGTCTATGGGTGGCGACTTAGCCTCATTCGACAGTGCAGAGGAAATCAAGGAACTTTCAGATCATTTAAAATCAAAATATCCCAGGGATCGATGGTGGTGGTTATCAGGATCTGATTTACACTCTGAAGGCGATTTTTTATGGTACCGAACTGGCGAACGTATTACATATGCTGATTGGTCGCGTGGGCAACCTGATAATGCCGGTGGCAATGAGAATTGTGTCCATTTGTGGTACAGGGAACCTAAATACGAAATGAATGACTGGGTTTGCAAACTGGATGCATTTTATATTTGCCAAGCCAATAAGCCAACTACAGTTGTGGTCAGCGTATACTAAAATCAAATTCGATATATATTTGTTGAAATAAAAGTCATTCCACTATTCAAAGTATTTCCATGCTGTAACTTTATTCTTGATAGTTCCTAAAGCAAACGAGTAGAATAATTTGACAATTTTATTAGTGCAATCTTGACATATGTTTCTTTATAAATCCACGCCTATGGATATGTTGGTCCTTGAAATATGTTTCTTTATAAATCCACGCCTATGGATATGTTGGTCCTTGAAATATGTTTCTTTATAAATCCACGCCTATGGATATGTTGGTCCTTGAAATATGTTTCTTTATAAATCCACGCCTATGGATATGTTGGTCCTTGAAATATGTTTCTTTATAAATCCACGCCTATGGATATGTTGGTCCTTGAAATATGTTTCTTTATAAATCCACGCCTATGGATATGTTGGTCCTTGAAATATGTTTCTTTATAAATCCACGCCTATGGATATGTTGGTCCTTGAAATATGTTTCTTTATAAATCCACGCCTATGGATATGTTGGTCCTTGAAATATGTTTCTTTATAAATCCACGCCTTTGGATATGTTGGTCCTTGAAATATGTTTCTTTATAAATCCACGCCTATGGATATGTTGGTCCTTGAAATATGTTTCTTTATAAATCCACGCCTTTGGATATGTTGGTCCTTGAAATATGTTTCTTTATAAATCCACGCATATGGATATGTTGGTCCTTGAAATATGTTTCTTTATAAGTCCACGCCTATGGATATGTTGGTCCTTGAAATATGTTTCTTTATAAATCCACGCCTATGGATATGTTGGACCATGAAATATGATTTATGCCTATGGATATGTTGGACCTTGAAATATGATTTATGCCTATGGATATGTTGAACCTTGAAATATGTTTCTTTATAAATCCAGGCCTGTGTATGAGATGGTAATTGAAAAATGACTGTGATGGACTTTAAGAAATCACGACAATATAAGCAATGGTTCCATAAGCCGAGCTTAGAAAAGATTTCCAGGCGCGTCGGAAATCTGAAAGATCATTTTGAAAGATCATTTTCGACAATGTTGTCTTCGACTTGATCTTTCCATCGTATTCTTGCCCTTCCCCATCTGCGTGAACCATCAGCTGGTTCGCTTTTATATGCCTTTTGAGCTGGGGCATTCTCATTCATTCGCACAACATGGCCTAGCCACCTTAGTCGTTGCAGCTCAATACGACTGACTATGTCGATGTCAGCGTATAAATTGTAAAGCTCGTGGTTCATTCGATGACGATATTCACCGTCGACGCAGATCGGCCCGTAGATCTTTCGGAGAATTTTTCTTTCAAACACCCCAAGAGCTGCCTCATCTGCTTGCGCAAGTACCCATGCCTCTGATCCATATAATAGCACGGGTAGTATCAGCGTCTTGTAAAGTGTGAGTTTGGTCTGGCGGGAGGTGGCCTTGCTTCTGAACTGCTTACTTTGGCCACAGTAGCATCTGTTGGCCATCACTATCCTTCTCCGAATTTCAAAACTGATGTCATTCGTTTTGTTTATGGCGGCACCAAGATATATAAAATCTTTGACTACCTCGAAGCTGTAGTTCTCAAGTTCCACAGTTTGTCCGAGTCTACTGGTATTAACGTCTTTCGCGTTGATACCATCAGCTTGGTCTTCTCGCCGATTACTGTCAGACCCATTTTGGCAGACTTCTTCTCAATTTGTTCGAAGGTGGTTGCTACCGCTCTCAATGTTAATGCCATCGGCGTAGGCGAGTAACATGCGTTGTTTGGTGTACTGAGTGCCATTTTTGTCCACTTTTGCCTCTCGTATGACCTTTTCCAGCAGAATATTAAAAAGGTCACACGACAAACTATCACCTTGTCTGAATCGTCGTTCGTTATTGAAGGGCTCCGATAGGTCCTTTCCTACTTTAACGGCTGACCTTGTGCCACTTAAAGTTATCCTGCATAGCCGTATTAATTTTGCAGGAATGCCCAACGCAGACATGGCTTTAAACACCTCTGAACGGATAGGACTGTCGAATGCGGCTTTATAGTCGACAAATAGGTGGTATGTGTCGATGTGTTTTTCGTGGGTCTTTTCCAGGATTTGGCGCAGAGTGAAAATCTGGTCAATGGTGGATTTGCCAGGTCTGAAGCCGCATTGGTATGGTCCGATGATATTATTGACCATTGGCTTCAATAGTTCACACAGTACGCTGGATAGCCCTTTATATCCGATGGGAAGGAGACTTATTCCTCTATAGTTGGCACATATCGTCTTGTCTCCTTTTTTGTGCACGGGACACAGGATGCTGAGGTTCCAATCATTGGGCATGCATTCATCTAGCCAAATTGTGTTAATCAGCTGGTGCATGCTCCTGACCAGCATCTGGCCACCAGTCTTGAATAGTTCGTCTGGTAACCCATCGGCTCCTGCTGATTTGTTGTTCTTGAGCCGATTAATTGCTTTTATGACCTCATCTTGGCTATGACCTCATCTTGGCTTTTATGACATCATCTCTTATTGGTTCTGGGGTATCTTCTTCATCGCCACTATTTGATACTAGTAGCTTTTCGAAATGCTCCTTCCAGATCCTCAACACGCTGTCTGTATCTGTCACCAAGTTTCCTTCTTCATCTCTACCGGAGGATGTGCCTGCACCAAAGCCTTCGGTTTGGTGTTTTACTCGTTGGTAAAATTTTCGGGCTTCATTCTGACTCCTGTACATCTCGATTTGCTCACGATCACGTTTTTCTTGTTATTTCTTCTTTTTTCTGAAAACACGTTTCTCCTCTCTCCTTTTCTCCCGATAATTCTCCATCACGTTACGTGTTGCTACTATCTGCAGGGTTGTCCTATACTCTGCGTTTTTCACATTAGTAGCATTACGACACTCCTGATCGTACCATGGAGTTATATTTGCATACCTCCACCTTACACTTATTTCTAAAACTCCAATCTATCTTAGTTTTAAGTGATTACCAAATTCATAAACTCTCTCTTACTTTCTCTTTTTTTCAATTATTAATTATCACTCTCTTTGTAAAACTCTCTTTCTCGTATGATATCAAATCTCTCATAATGTTAATTTGTTATAATTGTTATACTAACATTTAATAATTAGATTATAAGAAGTTGATTTCTAATTGAAGAGTTCAGTTCTCATTTAGACCTAACATAAAAATGTCACATAATAATTGTCGGTTGAACAGAAAGTCTTCAACCGAATTTAATAATAAATAAACTAAAAATTTAATATTCAATAAATATATTTTAATGTGTTTTATTTTTAAATCATAAAACATAACTGGCGCAGTCGGTACTTCGAACCATAACGTAAACTGTGAAAATATTAAGCCTTTTCCAGTAATACAAATATAAGCCAAGTGTTGTTATCGGTCTCAAACTGAAGAACATTAGTAAAATATAATATAAAGTAAATCATATAATTATAAAATCTTTTTTGAGAAACCGATCAAAATACATAAGATGAAATTTGTGAACTATTTTCTGTAAAATAAACTTTAGTTAGAATTATTAAAGCATTCTTCTAAAATATATACCGATAATAAAGATTAGCAAATCATATATTTATTACAACTAACCGGATTATCGAAGACAACAAAAAAATTATAAGTAAAAAAATAAATAAATAATTGAGAAACAAAAAAAATAATAATAAATTATAAATAGTAAAACTAAAAAATAGATATTAAAAAATAAAACATAATTTAAAGTGAAAGTTGATAACTAATTTGAAAAAACGCAAACAAACAATTTAACGAAAATAAAAAAATATAATAATGTATCTATATGAACAATTAATAACAAATCACAAAGTTGCGGCAATATGCCATAATATGTAGCATATTAAATTATTAATTCTAAACATTCAATTTAAAACCCTAAAAACAAACATTTATTTAAACTACAAAAACTTTTACGAAACTGTACTTCCAATTATTTAAAGTAAATCACAAATTCGAAACATACTAAACCAAATTTTAAAAGACTCATCAATAAACAGTTATTCAAATAAATGCCATAGTGATAAAAAACTATCAACGAAAATATTACAACAAGAAAGTGCAAATAATAACAAAACAAATTAACCGATGTTGCAAAATTTCAAATAAAAAGACGTACATGACCATCGAGAACACACATCAATAGAAAAATACTCATTCCACATTTTTTGGACATACCAACAAAAACAAGAACACATACCAACAACAACAACAAAGTCAAAACAAAATCAACAACAAATATTAAAGCGGCTTAAAACAGGAGAATTACTTCAACGATGCACCCATTACATATCAACCCACCCCCCATTAATGGAATTATAAAGATAACTAAAAGAGATTATTAAAAATATTAACCATGCACTATTTATAAAGAGAATTGAAGAAATTAGGCAACATGCGACAGGAATAATACTAACCTTCTTTGACATTAAAATAAGATATATGATATCTGGTGAAGCTAATATAGCTCTTATTAATAATGACAATCCCATTCACTGGCAGGAAATAAAAACTGTTCTAATAAAGAATTTTCAAATTAGTGAGGGGAGCGAAAGAGATGCGAGTAAAGAGACAAAGACTAAACAAGAAAATAAACACTACATGACTAAAAATTTTAACACTGAAACCAATAAACCCCAATACTTCACAAAAGATAGCAATAATTTAAGACAGAACCTAAATAGTTTATTAAATAGGGACAAATATACCCCAATATCATTACCGATTAGTAGCTTCTTTCAGGAGATTAATCATAATATTGAAGAGTACAATAAAGCTCCTACAGATATTGACGTAAATATATTAAATAAAGCTGTTAATAATAAAAGATCTCTATCCTATATCAAAATAGGTAATAGTTCGATCACAAAAAGATTAAGCAGTGGGTTGGACGAATTAAAAGAAAATAATAAAAAAGTATTAAATGTTTTTCTTTAGAGTTATCTGAAAAACATTTACATTCCAATATTTTCAAACCAATAGAATTTAATACTGGCATTGATACTG